GTCTGTGTGTCTGTGGAATTCACTCTAGCTTCCAAACAAAATGAAGTAGATGGATAAAATTTTACTCAAATGTATATTATAACTGCAGGAATTTTGGTTTTGAAAATGGGCCATGTAGGTTCACGTCTTCGTAAAGCCCCCATATAACGGTACCCCCCGATATTCGGTATTTGATTATTTTAGCGACATTATTCACCGGAATTATTTCAAATTTGGTATTTGAAGTTCGAAATGGATACTACAGCCTAAGACAGAAACTTGTCTGTGCAGGTCCACGTCTTCGTATAGCCCCAAATAACGGTACCTCTCGATATTCCGTATTTTGATGATTTTAGCTACATTATTCACCGATTATGACAAAAGGTACCTATGCAATTTCTTGTAGACCCTAATATAACAGCTACATTCGGTATTTTTAAGATTTTAACCGATTTTTTTAACGGATTTTATTGTTTTTTGAGAATTACCAAATTCATTCCAAGTGGTGGAGGGTATTCAAAGTTCGGCCCGGCCGAACTTACAGATTTTTTAATTGTAGGTATATAATATCTTCGGAAATATTTTAAATAAAACTACGAGAATTATTTTATGGAAAATATTAACACTCAATCTAGTCAATTAAAGGATCTTTTAGAAGGTTTTTTCAAAATTTGGTTAAAAACTCAATTTTAGTGGGTTCGTAGCAAGTCTAAATATTCTACAAAACTAGTTATCATCAAATTCTACTATAGGTCCCAGAAGTCATCAAAAGTCTAAATCTTACTTACGCGCCAAAAATTCACAAAATATTAAAAACAAATTTTAGGGTTAAAGACGTACTTAATGTGAGTTTAGGCTAAAATCTCCAACAGAGCATCATTTTAGAAGGACGACGTCAAAGACAAAAGTATTTTTTATCAAATTTTGCTATACGTTGCCAAAGAAAAGAAATCTCTATTTTCAATGTATATAAAATAATTGGATCAATGTTCTCTAGTTTTTTGATCAATATTTTTCCTGATTTTTTTTTTTTTGAGTTGGCGCCTGAAAGTAACTCAAAATTTCGTCTGTGACGAATTCTGTCAAAAAAAATCTACACAAAATTTCAATAGTATCCTCAGAATTTACAATAGTTTTTATGAAAATTACATTCAAATGTATGTACTAAAAATGAAAATTATGACCTCGCTTGAGGATTTATATCATTTTATAGGGCCAAAATCTGCCTCATCGAAATAAATGTTTTATACCTTAGGTCCCTTTGGACCAAATCCGTTTCAGGACATTTAGAGTTGATCTAGGGATGTCCGTCGATAGCTCTGTATCTTAGGCAGGCAGGCTGGCTGGTGCGCATGATAACTATCAAAGGAAATATTCGATCTCATCCAAACTTGGTACATCGTAGCTCGAGTTCAGAGATAAGCGGCATCGATCCACAAAAGGTCAAACATTTTCATAGAAAAATAATTTACATTATAGAAAAAGAAGGGATAATTCGATTTTGTGCAAACCTTGCTTATCACATTTTTTCTGTCAGTGCTAGGCTATTTGCGAAAATGGACAATATCGGCCCACTCAATCAAGTAACTCCCCCACAAAGGGTCGAAATTTTCAAATTTTCATTCAATTTTTTACACCAAAAAATCGTCAAAAATTTTCATTGTGAAATTTTTTTGAGGAGGATATTAGTAAAACTATTGCGAAATGGAATTTTAGAAATTCAGTTCTATCCCTTCACCCAATACCAAATTTAGTACCACTTAGTACTTTCCGTACCAATATAGTATAATGTAGTATGCATTTCCAAAATCACCTCCGTATTTCAATCCCAGATACCAAATGTGACCTCAATATCAAATTTCAGGATTTCAGCTATTTAATGTCCCCCATTACGAAATTTAATACTATTTAGAACAATTATAGTACACTTTCAGAGACCTCATTCTCAATTTCAGAGACCTCAATATGAAATTTGAGGATTCCAGCCCTATCCTTACCATATCCATCTCCAATTCTCAAACACAAATACCATAAGTAATCTAAATAACACATTTTAGGATTTTATATCTATCCCTTTACCCAATACCAAATATAGTACAATTCAGTACTTTTCGTACAATTGAAACCACCGAAACTATGTCAAGACCACACACGAACAGATTTTAGATTTCTAACATCATATTTTCACCCAATACCAAATATAACAAAATATAGTACTACTTAGTACTTTTCGTGTACTTGTAGTACACATTTTCAATACCAATACTTTATTACAAACCCACCACCAAACTAAAAACTGAAATACAAACTTTCGAAATTCCAGCTTCCTCCGTTCACCTAAAACGAAATTCTTCCAAATTTAGTTCCATTTACTAGAGTTCTTACACTTGGTACACATTTCCAAAAATACGTCCATATCTGAATTCAAGACACCAACAGGGACCTCAATATCAAATTTGAGGATTCCAGCTCTTGACACAATACCATATTTAGTACCATCTAGTACTTTTCGTACATATATATTGCGCATTTCCAAAATCACTTCCATATCTCAAAAACAGATACAACAGTGACCTCAATAGTAAATTTCAGGTTTTCAACTCTTCAATTTCCCCTATTACAAGATGTTGTACCATTTAGTACAATTAATAGTACATATGTCCGAAACCAGCTTTATCTTTCAACCACAGACACCAGAAGTGAAATCTATATCAAATTTGAGGATTTCAGCCCTATTCCTTCACCAAACACCAAATTTAGTACTATTCCGCACTTTTCGTATAATCACAGTACACATTTCAAAAACCACCTCCATATGTGTTCATGATATTCGGTACCCCTATATTCGGTATTTTGATGATTTCAGCCAAATTTTTCAATGGAATTGTTTTAAAATCCATCCTAGAAGTTCTCCCTAAGCACTTTACCCCTTGGAAGAGAAATGTCTATAAAGGCCCACGATATCCTTTAGCCCCCATACAACAGTTGTGTCAAATTTCTTATTTAGAGTTCGTAAATAAGAAATTTGAAAAAAAAAAATTTGAAAAAAAAAAATGAAATTCAAAAAAAAAATTGAAATTGTATATGCCGGTCCAGGTCTTCGCATAGGCTCCATATATCGGTATTTTGACGATTTTAGGGACATTATTCACCTGAGTTGTTTCTAATTTCGTATTTAGAGTTCGTAATGGGAACTACAGTCTATAACAAAAAATCGTCTATGTAGGTCCCATATATTAGTCGTATAGGCCCCATATATCAGTACCTCCCTATATTCGGTATTTTTACGATTTTAGGTACAATATTCACCAGAATCGTTTCAATTTTGGTATTGGAAGTTCCCAATAGGTACAGCAGCCTTTGACAGAAAATTGTCCATGCAGGTCCAGGTCTTCGTATAGGCCCCATATATCGATACCTCCCTATATTCGGTATTTTTACGATTTGAGCTACATTGTTTCAAATTTCGTATTCAGAATTCGTAATGCGAACTACAGCCTATGACAGAAAATTGTCTATGCCGGTCCAGGTCTTCATATAGCACCGATATAATGGTACCGCCCTATATTCGGTATTTTGACGATTTTAGCTACATTATTCACCGGTTTTTTTTCAACTTTCGTATTGAATGGCTTTTGAGAAAATTTCCTATGCAGGTCCACGTCTTCGTAAAGACCACAAATATAACGGCTATATTCGGTATTTTTAAGATTTTAACAGAATTTTTAACGGAATTTAATTTTTCTTTTTTTTAAATTTTCAAATTCTTTCCAAATGGTGAAGGGTATTCAGGGCTTGTTTTTTATTAATTTATTTATTAATTAATTATTATTATTATTATTATTATTTTTTTTTTAGTTTTTGCTACCTCCACCCCATTGTGCTAAGCGTTGTTCGTTTGGCCCGGGTAAAAGTTTAAAGAAGTGGCAAGCTTATGGCACGCCGACTGCCTGACTGGCTTACAACAACCTAACACACACACACACACCCAAGACCTCAACTCAAGAGGCTAAGAGCTCAGCTAAAAGCCGTAACATCAACGGTACATTAAATGTAAGTCAGACGTTGGACAAAGAAGACGTTCAAACGAAAACGAAGCGGATTAAAAACCAAAACCTAAAAAAAAAACAGAGAAACAGAGAAACGAATTTAACTCTAAACTATTCGAACGGACTAACGCGTAGCAAATGAAACTGAATTCAGGAAAAACAAAAACGCAAAAACTAGTGTGAAACGAAATTAGAACGCCAGAGGTGTTTGAGAAAAGAAGAAGAAGAAGAAAAAAAGAAAATCTCTAGAAGAAGAAGAAGGAAAATTTGCCAAGAAAAAAAAAAAGGAAAAGTGAAGTGCCAAGGAAAATATGTGGAAATTTCAAATCATTTATTTGTTAATAATTTTAAGTTTTCTCAATTCGATTGAATCGAAAAGTGATGAAGTGAACGATGAGTTATCCAAAGAATCCCAAAATGTGACGGATAGTGTCCGGCTGGCAAGGGGTTTGAAATATCCACCTAGAAATGTCCATGGCCCTATTTTCAGCTGGAGGCGAAGACAGCCTATACATATCCGATCCAGGGCAGATCATTTCCCCTTGAGACCCCAACTGAGAAGGGTCCATAACGGGGTGCTGCCGGCCAACCAGCAAAGATTTGGTTTTGAGAATTTAAAATCCTCCAAATATGTTAATGGCAAGGGGGCCTTGCCTTTTGGGGCAGGGTTAAAGGGTTCCTCTTCGTTGAAGCAACAATTGTTGGGAGTGCATCCGAATGGTTTACATGTCCCAGCCTTGTCCCAGCAATATGTGCAAAATTTCAAGGCCTCCCCAGCCTATAATGGTCAAGCGGTGGTGATACATCCCCCACCACCGGCAGCTGCAGGACCAGGCCAGCCAAGCGGAAATAAATTGCAAAAGCAGCAGCAGTCAACTCAGCAACAGCAGCAGAGTTTGGATAATTCCTATCCCAAATACATCAAACCCCAACAACAACAAAAACCCCAGCAACCACAACAACAACAACAACTCCAACACCAACAACCATTAAAATCCACTTCGCATGATCCCGCTATGCCATATCCTGATTTCAAACAATATCCCATACCCGACCAGCAGCAAATGCAGAAGTACAACGAACAGCATGACAAATATTTGCAACAACAAAAATATCTAACACCCAGAGACCCGGTGGCCTACTATCAGCAGCAGTATCACCAGCAACAGCCACAACCACAGCATTTATACCAACAACAGCAGGCACAGCAGCCACAGCAACATCAGTCTCAGCCTCCAACTTATTCAGTTCAACAACCTGCCTATTCGGCCGCACACAACAAACCAGTTCAACTGGCTGCAGGTTTGTCGGCACAACCTTCCATACCCATACATGAGCTAGGATCCTCCAACGCTCAAACAGGCCACTCACCAACAGCTGCCACAATTTCCGCCACCAACCAACAGCAGCAGCAACCACAGCAACATCCAATATCCTATGGCCATGGCCATGCTGCTGGTCCAGTGAAAATGTATTCCGTGTATGAGGAAAACGACATGACCGAATTGCACAACAATGACTATCAAACGGCCCAGTATGAGAGCTTGGAAAAGGAGGCCCAGGAGTATCTGAGATTTATGAATACCAATGATTACTTCTTGCCCAAACGGGATCCCAACTATAGACAGATTGATGAGGAAAACGATCGGAGGCAACAACAATACAGCTTGCAGAAGAAACAGCAGCAGCAGAGCTACTCCCCAATAGCTGCCGGTTCCTCGCAGTATCCCCAACAAACATATCACCCCCAACAACAGTATTCCGCCCCCAAAACGGAGCCAAGTCAACAAATCTATTACGGGCAACATCACCCAGATTCCTCAGTGGCTGCCTCCCATTCATCCTCTGCCCCTGCCTCCTCCTCCTCTTCATCCCAGTTCAAGGAACCCATACAGGTCTCCAAGCTTTTCTATCAAGATGAGACCCCCTCAAATGGAGGCGCTGCTGGGGCCTCAACGGTGGTAAGGACCAGCTATCAAACGGCCTATAATGCCAATCATTTTGGTAGTGCCGACAAGGGTATAGTCAAAAATTCCGCCACCTCCTCGTCGCCGGTGAGTGTCAACAATGTCTACAGTCAGGTGCGTCAATCAGCCCCCGTCAGCGGCAACAGCAATCGCACCCCTGAACCCATACGTTTTGAATTTACCGAACGTGATGCCATGGTAGGTGGTATTGCCTATACCCATGCTCCTCAGACCCATTATAAATATAAGGCAGTGGATACGCCAGTAACGCCGAGAATATCAGGAGTGGTTAACCCACAAGCAACAACAACCACAGCTTTACCTTCCACATTAAGATCTTCGGCGTATTTGGGCGAAATTAAACCCATCGTTGAGGTGGAAGATGATCCCGAGGATGAGGATGATATTATGCAGCAGGCTGGTTCGGTAAGTAGAGAGAGGAATGTTAGGGGAAGATCTACGTTATGGGGAGGCAAATAGAACCCCCCATTATGGAAGGCATTAAGAAAATTAGCTCTACACAGGACTTCGGAGTCCAGATCGATTTCATGTGTGAGAGCTAGAGTTGAGATTAATTTCTTGCACCAATACCGAAGTCTGACCTCAACTTCGGTATTTATACAAGAAATTGACCTTGACTCTGATTCTAAACCAGGAAATTAATTTCAACTACAAAACCCAGAGTAGAGCTATTTATTTTTTCTTTTCTAGAGTCTAGGGAAGCCCTAGGTTCCGTGTCTCCACCGTACGCACGTCCCTGGTTTTTCACTCTTCTGACATCTTTTGTACATTTCCGACTTTTACCGTATTGGTATTGATTTCGACTCCGACTGCATTTGATTGTACTGTCACTTGCTTTTAAATTGACTAAAAGACCTCGTTGAGCTAAACTTTTCACTGCTCCCATGCACAATTAGCTAACCTCTATTTTAGCCAAAAAGTTCGGCTTAAATTCTCCTATCTCTCAAAAAGTTTAAAAATTTACAATTTTTACAAGATATTCTTCAACACGGTACGGATCCAAAATCTCAAATTATAATCCATGCAGTTGAAATTCAAATAACTGGAATTTTGGCCTATATGGGGGCCAGGGTCAGACTCTGAAGAGAGTTTGTGGCCTCCACACCAGACACTCACGAATATCACAAATTTCAATATTTCCTGAAAAACAAAAATAAGTAACTTCCTGTGGAATATCATTGTTTGGGGCCTAAGCCTACAGTTAATAATTCTTGAGAGGACTTATTTCACACATAATTTTAAAACATTGCAGGGTGAGATAAAAAAAAAAACTGCAACGAAGTCAAACGTCGTAATTTTTACATTTTTTTAAATTTTTTTGAACAAAAGCAAAAAACGTTGGAAATAGCATCAAATTTTAGAATAAGATTAGATTTGTTCGAATTGGTCACCTTTGTCACGAATTATGGCCTTCAAACGGCCAATGAAACCGTCACACGCTGCCCGAATGTTGCTCTGCGGTATTTTAGCCCATTCCCGCCAAGGTAAGGTGATAGACACTTTGGTATTTTTTAGGGTTTCTCAAAATACCCCAGATATAGTCCAATGGATTGGTATCCGGAGATTTTGGTGGCCATTGTGCGCTGGAAATTAAGCGAGGAACCTCATTTTGTAACCATTCTTGGGTGGCGCGTACTGTGTGCAAAAGGTGCTGAGTCCTGTTGGAATATCCAAGGCCTGCGGCCAAAATGTTTGCTTGCCCAAGGCTTTAATACACCCTCCCGAATATTTTCCCGATAATATTCGGCATTTATTCTGATGCCACGGTCGGTTAATACGAGCGGAGAGCTACCATCGGCTGTTATGGCGGCCCACACCATCACCATGGTCGGCGCTTGTGTTCTGGTGGCCAACCGAAGGTGCACATTTTCAGCTGACCTCTTTGGCAAGTAAACACGATCATTTTGTTGTTGTTGTTTACAAACTGCTGGACAACGAATGTTTTCTCATCGGAGAAAACCAAATTCGGCAGTTCACCACTTTCGGCCAAGCGCAGCAACTCTTTAGCTCTTTTGAGTGTATTTTCTTTCTGTTGCTATGTAAGTTCTTGCACTTTTTGGAATTTCAATGGCCTTATGCCCGAGCTTATTTTTCAATATTTGCCGAATGGAATATTGGGATATGTTCAGCTCACGAGCCATTTTTCGGCCACTGCGACACGGGTTTCGATCAAGTCGCTTTTTTACTTTTCGAACCATTTCTTCTGAAGTTGCTCTTTTCTTCCGTCCACTTCCTTGACGTCGGGCTACGCTACCAGTATCACGTAATCGGTAACGAGCGATGGTACGAGACACAAAAGATGTATTCACATTTAAATGCTGGAGTGCTCTAACGATAGCCACTTGGTTGGTGGTTTTCCAGCCAAATATAAAGAAATCACATTATCCCGCTTGAATTCCATCCCGAATAACTTTTTTTCTGGAAAATTCTCACCAAAACGCTTTTGTACCCTTTTAAACAATATAATAAGCTGTCACTGGAATAATTTTAATAGCTGTCGGACGAGTGGTTTTGTGTTGGTAGAAATATTGGGATGTGCGAAATTTGAAGATAATCGGATTCTTATTTCACATTTTTTAGGAGTTATAATTATTCAAAATGTTGACCCTTTGTGGGGGGAGGTACTTGGAGGAGGCCAATATTTTTCATTGTTACACCTGACCTAGCACCGACGAAAATTTTGGGATTTGCTAAACCATTATTTCGATTAGGCACGTTTTGGCCATATCATATGATATATTGGTTCTCTAGCGATATGTAACTCTGACCTTTAATTCACCAAGAACAACAACAAATTTAAAATATTTTTGCAAAAAATGGATGTAGACAATTTCTTGCAGGGCGTTTTTTTTTTTTTTTTTCATCCATAAAAAATCCAGATTGAGGATCATTCAGTAGGAAACTTTAAAAATTTCGAAAAACAGAGGATACTCCTATATGGGCATATAATGAGGATATCTTCGAAATTTTGTGTTAGTTTTGCGAATTTTCTAAAATCCCACCTTATTACATCCAAAACTCGACCTGATTCAAAAATTCAAGGTTTAAAATGTTGTGGATGGCTCAAGAATAATGTTATATTGTTCTCTTCATTTTATTACTCGTCATTCATGAAGATGGGCTACATGGTTCCACTTGTTTTGATACCTCTCCCATAAAAGATCAAAATTATCCAAAAATAAGTAAGAAAATATCAATTCCGGCTTTTAGTGCCCTAGACTGAATCACGTACAAAATTTCATTGATTCAGCTTGTATCGATCGGTAAACGACAATCTTGTACCTTTCGGTACTTTTCGTGGCCTTTATGTGCAAAAATACCACCTTACTTCATCCTAGACTAAAACCCATGCAAAATGTCAAGTTTGAGCTCTTATCGATGGGAAAATCGATGTTGTACCTTTTAGTACTTTTCGGTCCCTATGGATGGGATTTTTCAAAAATCCCAATATATTTCACGAAAAACAAAAACCTAAGGCAAATTTTATAAATTTCAGGTATAGGTGAATAGGAAAGAAATGGATATGGAATAGCAATGACATGGTAATTTCTACCTTTTCGTACTTATTGATCCCTTAAAGCAGGATTTCTTAGTAATGCCCCCATATTCCCTCATTTCTACGCCAAAAGTAACCCTCTTGAAAAAGTTTAACCTAAAACGTTAAACTTCCTGATCCAACCTCTAAAAATATTGTACAATTTCGTACCCTTGACTCTTTAAACCAAGGTGACTTAATTTAATATGTCAATGTTCTAGTTCTAACCTAAGGTTCATTAATAATGTTGTACCTTTTAGTACTTTTTATACCTATTATGTATGAAAAGCCAAAAATCCCAGTTGTCACCCTTTATCTAAAATTTCAAAGTATAGAACTTATTAGCAGCCCTATTGCTCAATGTTGTACCTTGTAGTACTTCTCGTATTTTTCGTACTCTTAAATTACAAATTTCGGAAAATCTTGCCTTATGCACGAATGAATCCACGCAAGATTTCTAATTTTTACTAAAAATGTTGTACCTTAGTACCATAGGTACTTTTCGTATTATGATTACTGTGCGTACTAGAAGAAAACAAATTTTCGAAAAAATCCGCCTTACAGGGTGCGATGAAAAAACTGCAACCAACTTCAGATTACTGTCATTTCTAAGCAACTCGTCCGACAGCTGTTAAACGTATTCCCGTGACAGCTCATTATATTGTTTACAAGCGTACAAAAGCATATTGGTGAGAATTTTCCAGAAAACAAGTTATTCCTGAGGGAATCCAAGCGGGATAGTGTGATTTATTTATATTTGGCTGGAAAACCACAAGTAGCTATTGTTAGAGCACTCCAGCATTTAAATTTGAATAAATCTTTTGCGTCTCGTACCATCGCCCGTTACCGTGATAATGGTAGAGTAGCGTAGCTCGATGTCAAGGAAGTGGACGGAAGAAAACAGCAACATCAGTAGAAATGGTTCGAAAAGTAAAGAAGCGCCTCAAGCGAAACCCGCGTCGCAGTGGCCGAAAAATGTCTCGTAAGCTGAACATATTGCAATATTCCATTCGGCAAATATTAAAAAAATGAGCTCGGGGCAAAGCCTTTGAAATTCCAAAATGTGCAAGAACTTAGACCGCAACAGCAATAAAATAGACTCAAAACGGCTAAAGAGTTGCTTCGCTTGGCCGAAAGTGGTGAACTGCCGAATTTGGTTTTCTTCGATGAGAAAACATTCGTTGCTCAGCAGTTTGTAAACAACAACAACAAAATGATCGTGTTTACTTGCCAAAGAGGTCAGCTGAAAATGTGCACCTTCGGTTGGCCACCAGAACTCAAACGCCGGTCATGGTGATGGTATTGGCCGCCATAATAGTCGATGGTCGCTCTCCGCTCACATTAATCGACCGTGGCATCAGAATAAATTCCGAATATTATCGCAAAAATATTCTGGAGTCATGGGCACGCAAACATTTTGGCCGCAGACCCTGGACTTTACAACAGTACTCAGCACCATTGCACGCGTCACCCGCACCACCCAAGAATGGTTACAAAATGAGCTTCCTCGCTCCAATGGCCACCAAATTCTCCGGATACCTATCCGTTGGACTATTGTGTCTGGAGTATTTTGGAAAGCAAGGTTGGCACTAAAAAATACCAAAGTGTCGATAACCTCAAGCAAGCGCTTTGCCGGAAATGGGCCAAAATACCGCAGAGCAACATTCGGGCAGCGTGTGATGGTTTCATTATCCGTTTGAAGGCCATAATTCGTGCCAAAGGTGACCAATTCGAACAAATCTCAACTTATTCTAAAATTTGATGCTATTTCCGACATTTTTGCTTTCGTTCGATATAATTAAAATTAAAACAAATAAAAAGCTGAATACTCTCCACCATTTGGTACAAATTTGGCAATTTTCAAAAAAAAAAAAAAATTGTTTAAAATTCTGTTAAAATCTTAAAAATACCGAATGTAGCCGTATATTAGGGTCTATACGACGACGTGGACCTGCATAGGCAAATTTTGTCACAAGCTGGTACAATATTCAAATGCGAATCTTGAAATAAACGGTGAATAATGTAGTTGAAATCATCAAAATATCGTGTATAGGGAGGTACCATTATATCGGAGCTGTGCGAAGACCTGGACCAGCATAGACAATTTTCTGTCACAGGCATCCATTACCAACGTCAAATACGATATCAAACAATTTCGGTGGGTATTGTTCCTAAACTCGTCAAAATACCGAATATAGGGAGGTACTGATATATGGGGCATTTTTCTGTCACAGACTGTGGTTCCCATAACCCTAAACAATTGAAACAATTCCGGTGAATAATGGCGCTAAAATCATCAAAATACCGAATATCGGCAGGTACCGTTATATGGGGGCTATACGAAAACCTACACCGACATGGCCTGTTTACGAACTTAACCTGCCTACTGGTAAACTATGCATGTATTTTTGGCCATCTATCTCAGCCTTATATCTCAATTCGGACAGGCGGACATCGCTAGATAGTCTTAGAATTCTACGCAGATTCAGTATATATATATATATATATATTTATATATACTTTGTAGGGCCTATTGTGAATATTTCGAGGAGTTACATACGGAATGACAAAGTTAATATAAATAGAATGGTGGAAAGCATAAAAATGTATTTGGGTCAGCTATGAGAATTCGGGATTATTACTTTCTTACTTATTTTTGAAAAATCTTGAACTTTTTTGGGGAGGTACCAAAAAGAGTGGGCTTATATTGCCTATCATCGACAGTGATTTAAGTTTGTTAAAAATATTTTGATGTGCCAAATTTCAACAATCCGACCAGCTTGCTAAATCGACTCGAACTGGCCCGGAAACGGGTTTTATCGTGATTTATGGAGCTTAAGAACTTTATCTCGAAGAGAAACTTTTAGACATCTGTAGCCATGTGGTTTTTTTAGAGGCATACATTTTACAAAAAAATAAAGAGTTGCAATCGACGGATATGGATTTTCCTGGGCGCTGATGTTTTGGTCAGTCACCACCCGAAAAAATCTTAAAACCGCAATGAAAGATTTTCCAATAGTTTTTCGCTCTCAAAAATAAATCGAATTTATTAAAAATTAATTCAACTTGTCCCGAAACTTGATTTTTAAAGTCCTATTCAGGTGGCCTCCTAAACTTGTATTCTACAGTTATTGTATAACCGAATCTTTTAAATTTAAAAAAGTATTTTAAATTTTCAAAATTTTCTTTTTCAATTTTTCCCCAGAACTTATATGGACGCCAACCGTTGCCAAACAAAAATGGCAATAAAGCCCCGGACACCAAAGGCAACAGCAGCGGCAGTTCCACGACAACGGAAGCTCCACCCAGTGAACAGAAAGACAACGAAGACTATTGCGAACGGATTTGTGCCATTGTCGAAGATGAGAATGAAGAAATTGTCTGCGGCTCCGATGGCTACATGTACACCAGTGAGGCCCAAATGGAATGCTATGCCTCGTGTTTGCGAATTGGTAAGTGGTCGTTATTTGTTTTTTTGTTGCTTACTTGCCAAAATGACACTGACCTCTGCTGGGGGGAATGCAAATGTAAGGGAAAAGTTGAAAAAATCTCTTGGTATGCAATTGGGTGTGTTTTGCGACGAGAAAGTGTTAATTTGTTTAATGAGATTTAAGCAACTTATTATTTGTGTTTGAACTTGAATTAAATTTCGAATTTTTTATTATTGCAGATATTACGATACAGGGGAAGGGTTCGTGTTCAGCGAGATAAATGAAGATGAGCGCGGCGACGTTTTGTAGATTTATTTATGCAGATGCCCAACAAAAAAAGATCAACGCATCTATTAAACTCAAATTAGTGAATTAAATAAATTAATTTATTTTAGTTTTTAATGTTTTATTTTAGTTTTAGAGATAAGATTTTATAACGAAAAAGAAATGCAAAATTTTCGATTCGATTAATTGATAAAGAAAAAGTATTTAAGATTAAAAATTAATTTATTAAAAAAAAAAAATTTCGTATTCTTTTATTTTATATCAAATATTTATATTTTTAGATAAAATTATTCTGAAAAGTCCCCGCTTTTATTATTAAAATACTTATTAAAATTCTGAGATTTTGTTGTTTGAAAAAATACAAATTTTAAAAAATCGACGTTCTATTACCTTTACCTTCCTAGGTCTACCTCTGGTAAGATTTATGCTTTTAAACAAGTAAAAAAGCTTTAAGTTCGGCCGGGCCGAATTTTGAATATCCTCAACCATTTGGAACGAATTTAGCAATTTTCAAAAAAAGTAAAAACCATTAAAAATTCTGTTAAAATCATCAAAATATCGAATATAGGGAGGTACCATCATATGGGGGCTATACCATAACGTGGACCTGCACGGACAATTTTCCGTCATAAGATGTAGTATCCATTACGAACTTCAAATGCCAAAATTGAAGCAATTCCGGTGAATAATACCGCTATAATCATCAAAATAGCGAATATCGGGAGGTATGGAGGCCATAAAAAGACGTGGACCTGCACAATCTTCTGTCATAGGCTCAAGTATCTATTACAAACTTCAAATACCAAATTTGAAACAATTTCGGTGAATAATGTCGCTAAAATCATCAAAATACCGAATATGGGGGGTACCGTTATATGAGGGCTATATAAAGACGTGGACCTACATGCCTCATATTTTGACATAGGATGTAGTATCCATTACGAACTTCAAATACCAAATTTGAAACGAAAGAAAATATTTTACTGCAGAGAAAGATAAAGGATGATTTTATTTTGCTCCAACTTTCAAAATTTCAAAAAAAAAAAATCTATTTCTCAGAAAGAGAAAGTATAATCCGATTCTGCTCAAATTTTGCAAATCCTAATATGCGAAAATAGACAATATCGCTCCACTCCATCGAATACCTTCCCCACAAACGGTCAAAATTTTGAATAATTACAACTTTTATTAAAAAATTAAGTAAGAGTCCGATTGTCCTCAAATTTCACGCATCCTTATATTTTTATCAACCCCAGGTCTGGTGCTAAGATGAAATATACCGGTCCGCCACTTAAGGTACCTCCTCCACAAAGGTCGAAATTTAAAAAAAATATGTATTCTGCACAGAAAGGGGAAGGATAATCGGACTTTGCTTCAATATTGCACGTCCTATTATTTGCGTCAGTGCGAAATTGGACAATATCGCTCCACTCCATCAAGTACCTCCCCCACAAAGGGTAAAAATTTTGAATAATTACAACATTTATAAAAAATGATGTAAGAGTCGATTGTCTTAAAATTTACACATCACAATAATTTTATCAACCCAAGGTCTGGTCTTAAGATGGAATATATCGGTCCACTTCTTCTGGTACCTCCCTCACCAAAAGGTCGAAATTTAAAGAAACCAGTAAAGAAAGTCTTAAAGTCGGGCGGGGACGATTTTATGATACCCTACACCACTTTGCTAATTTAGTTGAGCTTCACATAACAATTAAAAGTTTTTATGGGAGAATTCAATCATACAGGCAATGATTGTACTTTAAAGTTCAAAGGACTAAATATGCCGAAGCATTTGTATCTTTTAAATTCGGACTTGTATTGCCCATTTGGTGAAAAAATTAATTCAAAATCAGATAAAGATATATATGGGAGCTATATCCAAATCAGAACCGATCTCGATAAAATTTCGCAAAGATATTTCTGGCCATTATTTGATATATTTCCCTGAATATCGTTGTTACGGAGTGCATATTATGGCTGTGGGTAACCAATATAACAAATCGGATGAACAATATACATGGGAGCTATAGCTATATCTGAACCGATCTCCACAAAATTTGACATATTAGCTTCTAGACTCAATTCGGTCGTAAATGCCAAATTCCATCCCCTTTAGACAAGTATTAGACGTTTGGCGCACAATATAAGGTAAATCGGACAAAGTTATATATGGAAGCTATGTATATTCAAATCTGAACCGATCTCGATAAAATTTAGCAAAGGTATTTCTGAGCTGCATTTGATATATTTCCCCAAATATTTTTGTTACAGAGTGCATATTACGGCTGCGGAGGACAAAAATAACAAATCGGATGAACAATATATATGGGAGCTATAGCTACCATATATATATATATATCTGATCAAATTTGGCATGCTTATTTTCAGGTCCAATGTGATCGTACGTGCAAAATTCCATATGATTCGGGCTGATATTACACGTTAGTGCACAATAAAAGGCAAATCGGACGAAGATATATATGGGAGCTATATCTAAATTTTTACCGATTATCTGCAATTTCAATAGGGTTCGTCCTTAGGCCAAAAAAATGTTGTTTGGAAAATTTCATCTCAATCGGATAATAAATGCGACCTGCATTTTGTTCACAAGAATACATGGACAGACGGACGGACAGACGGACTGACATGCATAAATCAACTCAGAAAGTGATTCTATGCAGATCATCAAAAGGAACTATGGGTCTATCTCGTTTCCTTTGCCTGTTACAAACAAATGCACAAAGACATAATACCCTGACCACCTCGTGGTGTAGGGTATACAAAATTATAGAAACAAAGTCGTCGATTAATCTAAGGCTTTGGCCTAAAAGAAGTTTTTAAAAAATCTAGAACCTAGCTATGGAAAATTTTTAATCAAAGAATACAAATTCAAAAAATTTATTTTTTTTAATTCACGATTATGGCCTTTAAAATTAGTTTCATGAAGCCTTTAAAAATTGTAAAAAAAAAGTCGTCGGTTATGAAAACAAGAATTTTTGAAGTCAATAGCTATGGCCTCTAAATATATTTAAAAAATCCACGTTTATAGCTTCAAAATACTTATCGATTTTGGCCTTTGAAAAATATGTTTTACGGAATTCGCACTTTTTTTTATACCCTCCACCATTATATGGAGGGTATATTAAGTTTGTCATTCCGTTTATAACACCTCGAAATATACATTTGAGACCCCACAACGTATATAGTATATTTTCTTGATCAGCATAAAATTCTATGTCGATTTAACAATGTCCGTCCGTCTGTGGAAATCACTATAGCTTCCGAACGAATTGAAGTAGATTGATAAAATTTTACTCAAATGTATGTTATGTCTGCAGGACTTTTGGTATTGGGCAAAAATGGGCCATGTAGGTCCACGTTTTGGTATAGCCCTCATATAACGATACCTCCCGATATTAGGTATTTTGATGATTTTAGCAACATTATCCATCGGAATTGTTTCAATTTTGATATTTGAAGTTCCAAAGGGATAGTATAAGACAGAAAATAGCCTAAGCCAAAGACAGAAAATTTACTGTGCAGGTCCAGGTCTTATAACGGTACCTCTCTTTTTTCGGTATTTTGGTGATTTAAGCGACATTATTCACCGGAATTGTTTCAAATTTGATATTTGAAGTTCGAAAGCAATACTACAGCCTAAGACACAAAATTGCCTGTGCAGGTCCACGTCTTCATATAGCCCCCATAGCGGTACCTCTCGATATTCGGTATTTTAATGATTTTAGCGACATTATTCACCGGAATTGTTTCAAATTTGGTATTTGAAGTATTTGAATGGATACTACAGCCTAAGACAGAAAATTGCCTGTGCAGGTCCACGTCTTCGTATAGCCCCCATATAACGGTACCTCCCGATATTCGGTATTTTGACGATTTTAGCGACATTATTCACCGGAATTGTTTCAAATTTGGTGTTTGATGTTCGAAATGGATACTACAGCCTAAGACAGAAAATTGTCTATGCAGGTCCAGGTCTTCGCATACGCCCCATATATCAGTACCTCCCTATATTCGGTATTTTGACGAGTTTAGGTACAATACCCACAGAAATTGTTTGAGATGTCGTATTTGAACTTCGTTTTGGATGCTACAGCCTATGACAGAAAATTGTCTATGCTGGTCCAGGTCTTCGCACAGCTCCGATATAACGGTACCTCCCTATATACGATATTTTGATAATTTTAGCAACATTATTCACCGTTTATTTCAAGTTTCGAATTTGAATATGGTAATGACTTATGACAAACAATGCCTATGTAGGTCCACGTCGTATAGACACCATTACCATTTAGCACAGGGTTGCCCATATTCGACGGACCCATCTGGCAACGCCATAACTTTTGACAGAGATGTCACATCGCTTAATGACATACCGCGTTTGAAGCGTCAGTCCAAGCAGATTTTTACCATGAACCAATACACGCCACGCGAGCGATCTGAAATAGTTGAAATTTACAAGAAGTCAATTGTGAAAACTCAACGTGCTTTTAAAACATTAAAAAATGTGAGAAGTGCGCTTTCTAAGAACACCATTAAGCGTTTATACGAAAAATTTTCGAGTGGTAAGGCTCTTTCTAATCCGAAGAGGCCATATAAAAGTCGAGCAAGGCGATCGGCCGAGAATATCGCTGCCGTACGACCCCGTGTTGAGAGGTCCCCAAGAACATCCCAAAAACGCCTTTCTCAGCAGTAGAGCATGGTTCGGTCCACTTTACAACGGATTATTCGCATTGATTTGCATTTGCTCCCGTATAAATTCAATTGACGCAAAGAATGTTGCCTGCGGACAAGCCTCGTCGATTGGAATGGGCCCAAAGGGCCCAAAGGTCCGTCGAATATGGGCAACCCTGTATACCCAAGTGCGAATTTCCAAAGCTTCCTTCATACCCCCAATCCTACACTTTCCCAGTGATCCCAAATGCCAAATTTTAGCATGCCACCCCTGTTGGTTCGCCTAAATACAAATTGTACCAAATTTATTACATATAAAGGACAGATATGTACGAATTTCCAAAACCTCCTGCATAACAAAATCCCACACTTCAATCTTAATTCGAATTTTCAGGATTCCAGCTCTATTGATTCCACTAAATTAAAATTGTACCAAATTTCGTACATATAAGTACAAATTTCCAAAACTACCTACATATCCCAATCCTACAAACCGACAGTAATCTTATCTCGAATTTTTAAGATATCAGCTCTATTAGTTCACCCAAATTGTACCAAATTTA